CCCATAATGACTGGCTCTCTATGAGTGCACAATGGGCCAATGAGAGGGTTGTGCAGTTCCATCCCCATCTCATCTTTTGTTCTGGGGTGCAGGGACCAGGTACTATTCCACTTCTGAGCTCCAGGACCTGGGGTCTCTTCTACCCTGAGGGGTGGAACCATAGTCCCACCTCCACTCTGGGCCGTCAACACAGCTGGCTGAAGGAAGGTAGGGAGGAAGGGAACAAAGAGTAAACACAGCATCCTTTCCAAATGTGAAGGAGCAGCTATGCTAGCATTCCAGGGCTGCTACAGGCATTGTGCCTGCTGCATGGTACTAAGCGCTGGACATAGAAAATAGCAGCTGATCATGTGCTAATTGATCAATAGGTGAGATACCATTTTGTTTTTCCTTCATGGTCAGGCTAACAAAAGAAGAGAAGTATTCCAAATTAACATTTCCCTTTACTATCTAAAAGCAGCCATTGAACAGAGAAAGTCTTCCCTGCCAACAGCATTTGCTGATTGTGGTTGCTATGAAAACACACACTAAGAAAATTAGTCTGGGTGATAAAGAGATCAGAAGCTTCCTCCAGGCCCAGCAAGAGCAATACTGAAACAGAAAACACACCCTTCCCCTTACACACACACGAAAAGCAGGGCTAATGGAAATGTTAAAGCATATCTATCATAGTAAAACATGTGCAGTACTCAGAGGGAAAGCAAAAAGAAAAATTAGATAGGAGACAACTTAGAATATTTCACAGGGTCATGCAAGAATTAAACAGAAAATGAATGTGTCCCTTGCTCCCCAATGTGGTAGTGGCGAGGAAAACATGCTTCTAGGACAGTGGTTCCCAAACTTGCTCCACCGCTTGTGCAGGGAAAGACCCTGGTGGGCCAGGCCGGTTTGTTTACCTGCCGCGTCTGCAGATTTGGCCGATCACGGCTCCCAGTGGCCATGGTTCGCTGCTCCAGGCCAATGGGAGCTGTGGGAAGCAGCGCGGGCCGAGGGACGTACTGGCTGCCGCGATTGGCCGAACCTGCGGACACAGCAGGTAAACAAAGCGGCGCGGCCCGGCAGGGGCTTTCCCTGCACAAGTGGTGGAACAAGTTTGGGAACCATTGTTCTCGGAGCATGGTGGTGGGGAGAGGGGGGGAAGGAATAATACATATCTTGCATCACTGAAATGTATGACTTTTGCCCAATCCAAGGAGTGGGGTTTTTATGGCCTCTGCATCTAGCACTCATCAGCTAATGTGGGTCAATCTCACACAGGGCCCTTGAGTTGTGGAATGAAGAGAAAAATGAGGGGTCCCTAGAAGATTCCTTCCCCACTCCCAAAATGGAAAATAAAGTGATGCTCAGATGTCATAATATTGCCTGTGGATTTGCTGAAACTGGGTCATACAGCAGAGCTGGCTACTCTTGTGATATATGGAGAGGAGGATTAGAAAGAGGCTGTGTGTTTGGGGGTTGAATATCTTCTGAGCTTTGTTAGCCATCACAGCTACATGAATGTGCTGGCTAGGTGCTCCTTTTAACATTACCACTTGTGTTATGGGTGAAGTTTCACACTTTTCTGCTCTTGTACGGCTTGCTTTATTATCATTTCACAGTGTCTGTACCAGTGGCGCCCGCAGCCTTTATGCACATTACACATGGTGTGTATCATTGCCAGCAGGGTTGCCAGAGTGTGACAGTGTTGGTGGAAAAAGGGGCAGTTCCCCCCAAGTCCCTTGTTGGAGAGGGTTCCCAGAATAGTGTTGGGTCCTGGCACCTGGGGATCACAGCGCCACTCAGGTGCGGCCTGTCCAGAGGTGGGCCAGCCAAACGTGAGTGGTACTATGATCCCCGTGTGCTAGGTCGCAACACCACTCACTCAGATTCGGCCCATCTGCTCCTCTGTCTCCATCAACGGAGGGGTAGATGAGCCAAACCTCAGTGGAACTGCGATCCTGTGTGCCAGGTCAGAGTGCCTGAAGAAAGGAGCTGGCCTCAGCTCTGCAACCCAGTGGGGGCTGAGCATGTCTCGGATTCAGCAGGCGAGCTGCTGGGACCAGAAGCTGCAGTGGGCACGATCCCACAGGGATTGGTGGTGATACTAAATCTCCCCATGTCGGTACTATGTGAAAATTTTGGGGAGGCGCCCCTAGTGTGTAGGTCCCTTTTTTGTAGTCTGCGTTTATTAAAAATCCAGAGATACTGTCACAGGAACAAATGTGAGCTTGATGTAATTGACAAGGTGAATAACTTATATGCCTACCAGACAACATAGAACCGGTGGTCTTGAAAACATGGAGTATGTGCTTCGTTTATTATTTAAATGCTGAAGCATTTGGTATCTCCTACTGCATGGAGGCACTCCCATGATTTCAGCTCATCTTTGCTCTCACCCATTATGGTAACAAGTTTTCATCTCGGTCTGCAGAAGATGAAGCATGCATCCTGATTAGCAAGAACAAGATCATCGCTCCCTGTGCATGGGAGACATAATCCGATTCTTGCTAATCAAAGATGCCTCTTAAAATCCCATGAGGGGGCATTTAGCAGTACTTTTGTCTGGCCTGTTATCAGTGCTGCTTGTCCCAGCAATATCAAAGATGCAGTACATCAAGACTACATGTCTTTTTAAGGGTATGTCTACACTGGGAGCTAGGGGTATAATTAACAGCTCGCGTTAGACATACTCACGCTAGGCATCCCGAGTACAATACCCCTCAAACCTCATGTACATGACAGTTGCTGCTGCCCATGCTATCCTGTCTACAATACTATTTTTAGCGCGCTAGCTTGAGCAGAGCTAGGGCAAGTATGTTTAATGCAAGCTGGGATTCACACCTATAGCTGCTTCCGTAGAGGTAGCCTAAAGTGATGCTCTAGCTCAGGGGTAGGCAACCTTTCAGAAGTGGTGTGCCGAGTCTTCATTTATTCACTCTAATTTAAGGTTTCACGTGCCAGTAATACATTTTCACATGTTTAGAAGGTCTCTTTCAATAAGTCTATAATATATAACTAAACAATTGTGGTATGTAAAGTAAATAAGGTTTTTAAAATGTTTAAGAAGCTTCATTTAAAATGAAATTAAAATGAAGAGCCCCCCTGGACCGGTGGCCAGAACCCAGGCAGCGTGAGTGCCTCTGAAAATCAGCTCACGTGCCGCCTTTGGCACACTTGCCATAGGTTGCCTACCCCTGCTGTAGCTCAACCAGGAGTTGTGGGCTTGATGCAAAAATCACTTGGTGAAATTCTATTGCCTATCTTGTGCAGGAGGTCAGACTAGATCATTATAATGGTCCCTTATGGCCTTAGAATCTTGGAACAGAAAATTCATCTTTTGGAATATCCCTTCACTGGCTGCCTCTTTTCCATCACATCAAATATAAACTACCTGTCTTAAATCTCAAGGCTCTTCACGACCTGTCACCATCCTCCCTATCATCTCTCAGTCACTCTCAAAGTCAACTCCTGCCTCTGACCAGCCTCCATTGCCCAATTCTTAAATTTTCAAACAGGACCCTTTGCGCTCTCTCCCATTTTGCATCTCATGCCTGGAAGAGGCCCCAGATACCCCTCCACAAAATGAACTAACTATCCTCCTTAAAACTCTCCTTGGCTATGAGGCCTACAGAACTGCTTTTTTGTCTGCTCAGAGAGAAGCTACTTGAGACTCAGCCCTGGTAAAGTCTTGTAGGCCTCACATGCAGAGAACTAAAGAAATAGGAAAGCACCTTCTTGTAGTGGTGCTGGAGCAATGTGTATAGTCGGGGTGCTGAGAGCCATTGAACCAAACTCTAAACCCTGTATATGATGGAAACCACTTCAAGCCAGGGGGTGCGGCAGCACACCCAGCACCTCTAGTTACAGCACCTTTGCATCCTGAAGAATTCCAATATGTTTAACACACATTGACAGTAAAGGAGCCTCAACCAGCCAACAGCTTGTACATTAGGCCCAGAAATTTGGCTGAACCAAAGATACCTACAGGGTCTAGTTGGGAGGCCCATATTCAGAACAAATGATGTTTTCTATTTGGTTTATTCTATGCAATATTTTTACTTCTGTTGTTGGCACAGAATAGTTGCAGTCCTCTAAGCATTACAGATAGCACTATAAACTTATCCACAATTTTAGGAAGTATAAGTGAGTACAACTAGGAAGTCTTTAAAAAGTAGGTTATCACAAGAAAATTAGAAGATTCAGATTAATAAAATATACCTTTATATTTTTAATGAATTTTATGAGCCACTCAGCTACTACAGAAGTGGGGGTTATAGAAACGTGTTACATATAACAGATAGAACTTTTATGCATAGCTAATCAAAGCACTTTAAAGAGGAGGGCATGTACCATTATCCCCATTTTACAAATGGGGAAATTGAGGCCCAGAGAGACAATGTAACTTGCCCAAGGCCATGCAGCAGGCCAGAGGTAGATCTGGGACTGTATCCCAGGTCTTCTGATTCCCAGCCCAGTGCCCTATCTACTGGACCACACTGCTTCTTTGTATAACCTACGTATGGTCCCGGTGGTATCAAGTCCAGTTACTTCATCATCACCTTTGTGAACCGCCACAGAAACTGACCTTGTGAAATGCTTCCCAGGTTTTACAGTGAGCCAAGCGGATGCTGAGATATCACTTTGGGGGTTCAGAGAATGCTCTGCAGATGCACAGGCAGTGCAGATATGATCAATAAAGTCCATAGTTACATAGGGTGGGCCAGATTTTCAGGGCACTGAGCTCCCATGGCTGTCCTTGCCTTCACTGAGATTAGCAGGTACTCCGCACCTCTGAAGATCAAACCATACACTAGAGTCACTCATTATATGGAGCTCCCAGTAACTTGGAATACAACAACAGCCTCCGCTTAGACCTTTCACCTGCCTCCCTCCGGGAGGAATGATATCCACTCCACCCCTTACCTCCCACATTTTTCCTCTTTCATACATAAAACACGAGAAACATTGTGCTTGCATTGCTAGCCCTTGTAATTACAAAGACCGTGTCATTCTTTTTGCAGGAGAGAGGCCTTTTGAATGCAGCTGGCAAGAATGCAACAAGAAGTTTGCTCGCTCCGATGAGCTGGCCCGGCACTACCGCACTCACACTGGAGAGAAGAAGTTCGGCTGCCCTCTCTGCGAGAAGCGGTTCATGCGCAGCGACCACCTGACGAAGCATGCCCGTCGCCATGCCAACTTCCATCCCAGCATGCTCAAGAGGCGGAGCGGCAGCAGCTCCAGAACAGGGTCTGTCAGTGACTATAGCCGTTCGGATGCATCAAGCCCCACCATCAGCCCTGCCAGCTCCCCGTAAACCTACCTGCACTGGATGTCAGCACTTTGCCTCTGACACTTATTGTGGAGTTGAATTTGTGTTGCACACAGTTTTAAAACTGTCGCTTATTTTGTTTTGTTTTTCAAATCAGTAAGTAGCTGCCTCTCACTGCAACTTCAAAACAAGAACTCTTCACCTCGCCAAACAGGTGGCTGGTCTAACCTCACGGACAGACGGATCTTAATGTCCCACTTAGTGGCTCCTGCTGCCTCAATATTTCATATGTTTTACAGCCAAAAACAGATGCTCTTGATTGTTGTTTATATATAAAAAACCCAGAAAACCTTAAAAAAAACCTATGTATAATTCACCTCAGGTGTCCGAGCAGTTTTGAGAGATCGGACTGCACAACACAAGCATACATACAGTTACAATTCAGTTGTGTTGGGCTTTTCCCCCCGCCCCCTTCTCCTTTCTCAGGGATGGCTATTTATATTACACAATAAGTACAATGAAGACATACCTTTGCCACAACCTTACTCGGTAAATATATTTGCACTCAGAAGCATTTTGTTGGGTTTTTTTCCACACACGTGGGGAAAAAACAAACAAACTAGTACTGGAAGTTAGTGCCAGGCTCTTTTATTGTTTGATTTCAGTTACATCCTACCTTTGGGGGGCCAACTTTTTCATTTAGTGCTCTTTGCTTTTGAGAGCAAGCAATCCTTTCATTTCTCACCGCAGATGCTCCAAAAACCAACTTCCCGTTGCGAAAATCTTCCTGTCTGAGTTGGATAAACTTTTCTTTTTAAAGCTAGATTAACTTCTGAGAAAGATTTCTAAATGAGATGCCTTAATCAAATAATCTAAACACAAGGAAACACATTTACACTGGTTAACAGCTTTTCCAGCAAGGTGGTATGGAATTTTGGAGGCATTTTGTCTTCTAGCTCTCTGAGTTATAAGATCTCTCTGCACTGCCTATCGAATATGGGACCAACGAAATATTAAAGCAAACCACATTGACTTGAACAACGTTCTTTTCCTTTTTTTTTTTTTAAATAAAAAGAACTGAGAAAAGGTAGCTGAACCAATGCCCATCAAAACCTTTATCAAGGTACTTACTTACTGTACAGCTGGATGCTAACACAAAGAAATTGCTTAAGACAAAGTTTCTGTACACTGTTGCATCATAACTGTGGTCACTGATAAAAAGGAAACAAAAAACGTGCATTTTTAAAAATGTGTTACAAAAATGGTGTTTTAGCTAAAAAAATACTTCAGGCTTCTCTGTCACCTGTAGAGCAGCATTCTATAAAGCAATGTCCCCTTCACCTATGAGACATTGTATATTAAAAAGGGGAGTTTAGATTTTTCTATTAATTTTTAATACTAGACCACTTTATCAGGTATATATCTGTGCTTTACAAATGGTATATAATATAGCAAAGGACCAGAATATTGTGATGTCACAGAGACCTCATTGTCAGAAAATACACTTTGTTTGGATTGGCTGGTTCAGATGGTGCATATTAAAAATTCAGGTGCTTTTGGTTTTGGATTTTTTTCACATTACTGTAAAGAATAAATGCAGTCAAGTGTAGCACAATGAAAAGAAACTCAATACACCAAACCTGCTGTTTGATATAAAGTTAATGCCTCCACATTCCAAAGGAGTCTTGATCCATATCTTACTTGCTGCTTTGCATTGATCCAATTTTGCTAGATTTTTAAAAAAAATTGTACTGTACATTAACTGTGAGAGGCTAGTATATTATAGATTTGTAAGTAGTTTCATAGGTACTTGCATACCATTTACATTGTTGATAATACCAAGCGCTCTTTCAGTTGTAAGATTGGTAACTGCTTAAACACAGGTTAAAGTGCAGATATTTCAGTATTTTTGTGTATATTTGTTTCAAACTTCACCTTTACAAAAACAATTTTTTTCTATTGAATTGTAAAATCACATAAGGCTGGACATTCTGGCTTCGTATGATGGATGGAAAAAGCCTTTTGACAGAAGTCCGATTATTGTTTAACTTGTGTGATGAGTTGCCTAAATACTGTCGGTTTAGGAAAAGCCATGTTCATTTACCTCCCTAGTTACAACTGTTGTAATCTCTTCTGATAAAATACACAACGTTGATATTTTAATACAATTCAGGTAGCAGGAATTCACTTTCCAATAGCTTTTGCAGCTCATAAAAGTGCTTTTGTGCTGTAGTTAGTAAAGGGATAATAAAGACAACTAGCTTAGAGAATTGTACCGGTCAGTTGGGCCTAGTGCGCACACTCTTAAAACAATTCATTAAGTGTAAAAAATATTTCTCTCATCATGAATAAATCTTACTGTAGGGATAAGGATAAAGGAAACAAAACTGAAAACAAAGGATGATTACGAAGTACTCATCAAAAAAGTGATGGCCTTTGTATGTTATGGCTTCAATCGGGTATGCTTTATCATCTCCAAAGAAAGCATTATTTTCTTCTTAGTTCTGTTGCATAAGCAGAATACAATTCCATTCCACCCATTATACTACATGGTGACATAGATTTAAAACAGGTTCTTGACCTATCACTGAATGCAAAATTCAAGTTTATAGGGTATACTATGAATTAATGTAACTCAGGTAAAGATATGGATTAGTTTATAAGCAAAATGCTTTGACAGTCTCAGTCTAGCTATAGCAAAAGTTTGTCTCTACTGCTCTAGCAGCACTGGAAGAGGATAGTAAATCCATTCTGAATAAATCTTTTACCCAAACAACAAACTGTAACTTTTATCTGCCTGCTCCCAAAAATATTTGGAATCATTCTGTAAAGTTAGATGGGAGCAAAAATATTGAATGCAAGCTGTTCTCAGTGGAATTCCCAACTCAACCAAATAATCTCATGAGAAAAGCCATGCGACCAATTTTATTCTTAAATTGGGGCAGTATCTGCGTCAAACCTTCAAACCTTTTTAATTTCCTCAGAGATAAAATTTTGTAGTTAATATTCTGATCTGTCATGTGTTAAGACCCTGGCTAGAGTTTCAAAACTTACATTAAATGCTTTCTACATTAGTGGTCATAAAGATTATGAACATTTAGGTTCTTGTTAATGCCAGATTAATAGTGACCCACACTAATGCTTCTGTAAATGGATCAGCAAATTGATTCAGAGACACAATGATTGGATTTGAACAGCACCTCTCTCAAGATTCTCTTAGCTAAAGAGACAGTTTTGGTTTCTCCAGCGTTTGTCCAGAAGCAGAAGTGGCAACAATATCATAAGATTCTGTTCTCATTCCTCAGTTTTGGCAGACTCAAGTAGCCTAGACTGTTCAGATAAAGCATTTGAAATCTGGATGCTTATCCAAACAGACCCCAAACTCCAAACCTTTTGTTGTTTTATCCAACATTCTGACTTAAAAACTAGTCTCCCATTACTACACCCAAACTGAACATTCAGGATACACTGCTTTGGCTAAGTACAAATTCTTCCCACTCCTCTATGTCATGTGCTTATCTCCTTCCTTCCAAGCACAGAGACCCAAGCACTCAAGCTGATATGGCTGGTCCTGAACAATGAAATTGCCTTGAGATTATAAATTTTTGATTTTACTCAACAATAAATTAATTAATAGCAGCAAACAATAAAACCATTAGGATTTGTTTACAGTTGTCCCCAGCCCTGGTCCTAGCTCCTTTTGCTGTAGTTAAACTGAAGTGCCACGATGTATGAAGAGCCTGCAACAATGAAAATGATCGTTTTAGTTTTCTTGGAAATTGTAAAAAGAAAAGGAGTACTTGTGGCACCTTAGAGACTAACCAATTTATTTGAGCATGAGCTCACGAAAGCTCATGCTCAAATAAATTGGTTAGTCTCTAAGGTGCCACAAGTACTCCTTTTCTTTTTGCGAATACAGACTAACATGGCTGTTACTCTGAAACTTGGAAATTGTAAAGATTGCTGTTCTCCATTAAACGTCCATTAAAATAAACTGAAGTCTGATTGACTGTAAACTACACACAGTTTGATATAAACTCTGCTTTATGTTTTATCAGCATTAAGGAGTTAATTTTGTTGTGGAGCTGGAACCAGCACGATCCGAGGACAGTAGTTTGTTCCCTCCATGGACTTCTACTTAGATACTTCTACATATACAAATTTATTCCAGTTACCAGAAAATTGCAATATGATCCATTGGACATGGTTTAACTTCCCTCTGTGCAAAACCCAAAGTGCATTAATGGTCATAAAACTTCAGTTTCCTGACCTGCTTCCTAGAAAGGAATCCAGCATGGTAAGCTCTAGGCAGCTGGGCTGTGTCATATGAGGTGCCCCCACATCCTTAAAGTCTGCAAACTAGTTGGCTTCTTGCTTTTATGGCATTTGTTTACATTGGGTAATGGTAAAGGTATATATTTAGAACAAAACAACAAAAGCCTATGTTTGATAGGAACACCTAATTTCTGTATAAGATGACATGTCTTCTCTATGTACCGTACCTTCTTCACCACATTATTACTTGCAATAAATTCTAGCCCTGCAAGCTTCTGTACAGCTTTAAACCCTCATTACCTTGTATCAAGAAGTTCAATGCTTTTTTATGTTTTATATAGCCAGTATAGAATCAGGTATAGGAAATGGCCATGTGAGAGCTCATGAAGACCCCATTCGATTTCACACCTGGCTTTGTTCAGTCAGAGTATCTGATGTGAGTTCTAAGTTTTGTACTGCATGAATTGTGTTATGTTTTGAGAACATGCTTTATGAACAAAGAATAAGGAAAATAAGACTCTTTATATTTAAAGCTTGCCTTCTCATAGCCACTTGTGTTGCTAATTTCACCAGCGGATGTCCACAAACTGACTTTCTGGTGCTCTGTTACTCCCATATGCCCCATGTTTGTGCATATAGATGCTCATGTGTAGACTATGACAGTGAGCAGTATAATGGGTTTATATATTTTTAAGTGTTGGGGATGATTATATAGTCAGCAGGTGGAAGAGAACATAACTGAGTAGTGCTTGTTTACCCCCAAAAGAATAAAAAATATAGAGTGCAAGAAACAATACTCAAGGGAATTATAGGTATCCATTTTGTTACAACTTGTGATGAGTCTGACCCAAAATCCTAGAAACAAACATCTTGGGACTTTGGGAGAATTTGAATCTCCATCTGAACTTTGGGGTTTAGGCCCATCTTTAGTTACAACTACAGTTAGTTGTGTATGTACATTGTGTGTGTGTATGTGCGCACATGTTCATGCACAGACACACGTTTTATACATATTTTTCACTTTTGGTGAAATTTGATGTTACACACATCATTTTTACCTGGACAGTTTTATCAACAGCATTTTAATGCTTTCCTGGATCACTTTTTACCTTTCTAAATCACTACATTGAAGTATTACAGTTGTACAGTTATATGCTGATCTATTCTTGCTCTGCTGTAACTTTTTATGTATTTTGTACTGCATAGAGTATATATTGTAACAATGTCCTAAGCAAAAAAAATTAAAAAATTAAAAAACCCAGTTGTAAAATACCATCTTAACTTGTATGCATGGTTAATGACATTTACATTTTAAAATAAAAGTTATAATTAAAAAAGATCTGTTATTTCTGTCATTTTCCTTTCCTTGGGCATAGAGTAAGGGTATTTATGCAGCTGCTAGGAATTTTTTCACCTAAACTGAAATAATTACTTTTCAGTGGGACAAAAAATAAGGGAAGGTTTATACGTCTAATCAAAACAAAAACAAAAAAACCCCACCCTAGTGGAAATAGAGATTTGCTTTGAGATACTGATTTCATTTACAGGTTTTTGAATGTCATAGATCTGATGAAATTAAACATAGTATTACTGTAAAACTGAGTAAATTTAATATCAACACAAACTCTATGCATGAGATTGATACATATATATATGCTCTTTTTTGCCTTTAACTGGGATTTTATGATTACAGAGTCAAATCCAGAAGTCCTTACCGAAGACTTATGCTCCCAATAATCCCATTGACTTCAGTTTTGTTGTTTTGACCTGTGCCTGCCGATAGTGGGGGGAGGGGCAGCAGAGTGAGGGCAGCTGGCTTCAGCGGTGTTACTGAGCATGATCAGTCCATGAAGGGTAAGTGGTGATCGATAGCTTCAATGAGAGTGGATAAAATTCAAATTCAAGAGCTCTTCAATTACCTGTCTACTACCATCTTTCTGTGGCTTGGCACTTGGGGAAAAAAAAAACTTTCCCAAGTCGAGTTTGTGTAAATCAAATAACGAAGTTCACAGACATTTCCTATGGTCCATTAGCTTGAAAGTTCTTCTACAATGCAGAACCCTTGAAATACACATTTTAAAAAATATAGTTTCAGAAATTAACTACCACCAACTACTGAGAAAACAGAAAAGCGCACGTTAATGCTGAAAGGGAATGTAATGATTGTGAAATGTACTGCATATGCAGCATTAGACAGTCAAGTGCATCCATTTCCCCATTATGTTTGACTAATGCAGGGGTAGATGAATAGATTTTCTTCAAACTTGCAAGTAGGATGAAAAAAAAACCCCAAATTCCCTTCTAAAGGTCATTTCTTGGGAAAGTTAGAAGCCACTGAAAATATGGGTTTAGAATAAAAGTGCTTTCTCGACCATAAGTACTGAGTTGCTACCTTAATACTATAATGTTATATGCCTACACACCCAGACACCCACACATTTGTATATATTTGTTAACACATTCTAATCCAGAGAAGAAACTGCTGTTGTCAGGTTGATAAATGTCTGAGGTTTCTGCCTTGCCTATGACTCAACACTTTACCATTAAATGTTTATAACCTTGGCAGATGTTCATCTGTTCAGAAGATAATAGATCATGTAGCTGGATCTACAATGGGATTTTCCTATGGTTACCTGCAATTGCATCTCTAAGTGTCAGGATACTCCTCCTTAAGGTTCATTCCTTCTGGTTTTCAAGGAAACAAACCCACAGTACATGTGCTAACTGATCACAGGAGACTAATTAGAACTACAAAAATATAAATGCAGTGTAGATAGAGACAGAAAGAGGAGAAGTCAGAGAGAAAGGAGACCGAAGCAGAAAAAAAGATGGGAGAAATATGAAGGCCAAAAGGATCAGAGAGCCCAACCAACATTTGAGCAGGCCAAAAGGGTACAGCCTAGTCTCATTGGGCTCAAAAATCTCAGGGCTGGCTAGCTGGTATTTTCAAATACCAGATTGTGCTATGTTTGCTAACAGCAAAGTGTAAAGCAAAAAGTAGGGAGCTATGTCATATACCAATTAAACAGGGGAGGCAGATGTGCCTAACCGCAGTGAGTTTGTGGCAATGCTTAGGGCATAAGTGGTGAGGTGGGGGAAGGCATTAATGGGCTTCTTGACCAATATTCCAGACATGGGAGAGAAGTCTGGATGTCAAACATCTGAGAGACAGGCTGCAGCAGGAGAGGAGAGGAAGCATGAGAGAGATAGAGAGAGAGAGAGATTTCTTGGGAGACAGGATAGTGCTTTGGGCAACTCACTGAACAGACTATATAAATCTAGGAAGAGACTCCAGCTTGGGATTTCAGATGGGAAAAGGCCTATAAGTGAAGTACTGCTAGAGAGGCCTAAATAATAACCTGCTAATTACTCTACCTACTCAAAGAGAAAAAACACTCTAAAATGCAATTGTTGTCTCATCATAATTGTAAATAAAGGATCAACCTGCCCTACTGATTGGCGATGGCAGGAGGAAAATTTATTCTTTTGACTACCACTGGCTGGAGTGAAGATTCATCTGACAAGAGGGGGTGCTACCAGGGCTGGGCTAAGAGAAGCCCTTACTGTGGTTTTGCTGCTGGCAGTGCCCCGTGCTGAGCTAACATTTGCTTTCTTTGTGTCAACGAATAAACTTTATTGACTAAGCAAGAGTGGGCCTGAGCCTGCCAGCCGGGCTGAGGCAAACTCAGAGGCAGGCCAAAATGAAACAAAGCCAGAAGCAATTGTTCTCCAGCTCAGTGTGCGTGTTACAGGCCCTCAGGCAGGATTGAAATGCAGGAAACTGTTCTTTTGCACTTTATGTGCATTTCTTTATGGAAGCAAGCCTGCCACCTATGGGCAGGAGGGAAACGAATGCCGTGCTGTCTCTACTGCATGTACTGCATGGACTGCTTCACCTCTCTGTGGGATTGCATGTACCTCAGAAAAAACAATAAGGCTGGGTGACAATGAATAGAAATAGCAATCGAGAGAGATTTGAAAGGGGTGACGTGATGGGGAGGAAGATGGCTCTGATAGTGACACTTTGCACAGACTGGAGGGTACAGCATGTCATTCCTCAGTAAATGGGATCCTGTGTCTTTAAGAAGTGAGTGTTTGCATTTTCCCAGGCTCTCTTATTGTAGAGCTAACTCACTAAGTGAGTCATTTCTGTAAGATCCTGGAGACAAAACAGATACAAACCATAACAAAACACAGCAGCAAGAGAAAGAGAAACACTCCTCCCCTCCCTTCCCCCCCCTTTATACCAACAATCCAACACACCAAAACCTTCCCAGTGGAGGAGAAACAAGAAACAGACAAACAACTATTTGGCTATCTCCTGAGTCTCTTTGGGGCAAGAAAATTTTACCTACTCATTGCCACATACAGTAAATTGCAACGAGAGTTTGCTAACTTTTATTTCTAAACATCAAAGGCTCTGGATTTTCCCCCCAGGCTTTGTTTTTTCCTCAGCAAGTCAGATGGATATTTGGAAATCCCACTCATTTGCAACAATACTCCTACCGTCTTCCTTTCTGCCTCCCCTCCCGTAACTGCCTGCAACCTCACTTTAATATCC